AAGAGAAGACCTACATCTGCCTATCTGAATTTCTTCATCTTCCTATCTGCTGAGCTACATCTGCCTGTGTGAAGAGCTCCATCTACCTGAAGAGCTACATCTGCCTACCTATATGTCTGAAGAACTACATCTACGTATCTATCTCTCTGAAGATCTACATTTATCTCTGAAGAGCTACATCTATCTGAAGAATCTTTCCTATTGCTTGTCTTCCCTTCCCCTTCTTTTACAATGACCAGCACTCCTAATAAACTGGATGGGTTGACATCCACCCTTTTTGTATGAATCTTGCCGTCAAGTGAACATAGACTTGAACCTCCTCTTGCTCTCATAATAGGAGCGAGACAGTGCCATCTCCTTGAAGGGGGACGATGGAGACTCTCCCAAGACCCCTTGGCTCTGACAGATGTGATTGCCACATTCCTCGGAGCCCTGGAACCCCGATATCCTCATTTTCCAATGCGGTGCTCTCTTCCAGTGACACACAGAGCAGAGCAAAGCCCACAGTTTTGCAGCATGTTAAAGGTGTAGCTAAGTATGTGGCCAGAGAGATGACTTTCTCCTTCCAACTTGCTCTCCTTTAGATCCCTAGGAATAGAAGGGGTTTTTGGGAGGTGTTGGGAGCTAGACACTGCAGCTGGATGACTCATATGGAAGGGATAAAGAGAAGCAGAGAAATGGCTGCCTCCCCTCAGCGTTCTGACCTTAAACCACCCCCACAGTATGCATCCGGGAGAAGAACTGCCCTGTTTTTTGAGAAGTTTCTCTTCTACAGAAACCCATTTGCTGTTGGACCACAGGGAAAGAGGTGGAAGAGAATACAAGAAAGGTCTTGCAGAAAACAGTCCTTTGCTCCGTTCCCATCACTGGTGCACTGAACAAGATCCATCAGCCTCACAGGGACGCTCTTTCTCCCTGAAATGCAGGCCCCAAGTGAAACAATTGCAATTCCTCATTTAAGAAGCAAAAGAGAAGCCCAAAAAGCACAGAGTAGTTAGAAAGCGGGTGCATATTTTTATTACAGCACTGCACACACACACACTGGGTGCAGAGGAGGTGGCCCCTCCTCATTTGCACACCGCACAGTGACAGCTTAAGGATATTTCTGGAGACAAGTTATACATATGCAAGAAAGGGAGGGGATGATTACAGTTGGTTCCAAGCAACGAGGCGTAGATTATTCTGATATTACAGTTAGAATAGGAGGAAATATCACAACTGTTTCCAAGAAGCTATTATCACATTGCCCACCCCAATTGCTGAGTTACTGTGACTTGTAGTGGAATTCCCAAGTCACAGTCTGAACCAATACATGAGCACGAGTGCCTGGTGCAAGAGGGAGACGAGGCTGCATTCCTCAGCTCCCCTCCCTCCACATCCCTCCCTGCACTCTGTTTTGCCCCTGTTCATTCTATACCCCCTTGCCTGGTTCACAATTAAGTGAAATGCCGTTCTGAAACGATTCTAAAGAAATGTGTTCCACATCAGTCATCTTCCTCAGTATCACACCTAATCGTTCCCTGAACACCTCCAGGGAATCTGACTCCAGTCCCTCCCTGGGCAGTCTGTCCAGGGCCCAACCACTCTTCTGGAGAAGTTTTTCCTAACGTCCAGCCTGAGAGAACTCTCAAGGTTCTTTCATTTCTTCACAAAGCTGTTTCAAAATCTTCATCTGGGAGGGAGCACGTGAACCTAATGAGATTCAGCAAGGTCAAGTGTAGGGTGTTGCACCTGGGTCGGGGCAACCTCAGATATCTGTGCAGACTGGGAGAAGAACTCATGTAGGGCAGCCCTGCTGAGAAGGACTTCGGTGTCCTGGCAGACAAAAAACTTCACCTGAGCCAGCAGTGAGAGCTGGGCTTGTTCAGTCTGGAGAAGAGAATTCTCTGGGGAAACCTGATGTGGCCTTCCAGTAATTAAATGGGAACTTATAAGCAGGAGGGAAGTCAGATTTTAACATGGGAAGAGAGCAACAGAGCAAAGGGGAACAGTTTTAAACAAAAAGAGTGGAGATTTAGTTTAGATATCAGAGAGAAATTTATCAGCGAGAGGGTGATGAGGTGCTGGAACAGCTGCCCAGAGACCCTGTGGATGCCCTGTCCATCCCTGGAGGTGTTCAAGGCCAGGCTGGATGGGGCCCTGGGCAGCCTGGGCTGCTATGAAAAGAGGTTGGTGACCCTGTGTATGGCAGGGGGTTGGAGATTCATTATCCTTGAGGTGCCTTCCAACCCTGGCCATTCTGTGATCCCATGATTCTGATTCTAAGGGTCTGTATTTCCTGGCATTGGGATGCTAACAAACAGAATCGATAGGTCCAGAGCACAAACTGGGAAGTTTTCAAGAGCATGGCACACAGCAGGCACCCAGTGAGATGCATGACCCTCTCCTGTCTTTCCTGCTGGTACAGGTCATGGCCTTCAGGATGTCAACTGGCAGGAAGTTTTCTAGAACAATAATCATAGGAAAACAAGTTGGAAAAGGAAGTGATAAAGAAACTCACAGATGTTCAGAGGACTTTTTCTGCATAGGAAGGTTCCTCTTTGGAAGAAGTAAGGCTTCCTACTTATTCCCGTGGAAACTACAACAGATACAGAAAGCCTAATAACAATGTTTGATAGAGCAAATTCTCAGCTACCAAACCTGTTTCTCAACACGGTCACCGATATCAGCTTTGCATTTTCACCAGCTCGTAACAATCTGCACCGGGGGGTGACCCACTGTCACTGTCACCACCGACGAAACGCAACAATCACAGCCCTGCTGTGCTCACATCCACTGCTGTGTCTCCAGAAATGTTCAACAAGGGTCAGTGAATGTCAGCGGGTGCCATTTTTTCCTTTCACTTCTGCAGTGTGCAGGTTTGATTGGGCAGGACCAGCACGAGGGGCAGATCCCTGAGCACTGAATGCCCAGGCGGCTTTTCCTACACATGGGTCCCAACATTTGAATGTCTCAGCACCCATTGCTCTTGGTGTAGCTGTTCACAGTGTACTGTACTGTTTGATTTTCCCAGAGGCTGCGCATGATAGGGAATGCGGGGCGCTGCCGGGCTGTGAGAAGCGGCAGCTGACCGTGATTATTAGGGAGGAATAATTGCATGCACTGGTCCAGGCTGGGGGATGAGCTGCTGGAGAGGAGCTCTGCAGAGGGGGACCTGGGTGTCCTGGTGGACAGGTTGGCCATGAGCCAGCAATGTGCCCTTGTGTCCAAAAAGGCCAATGGCATCCTGGGGTGCATTAAAAAGAGCGTGGCCAGCAGGTTGAGGGAGGTGATCCTCCCCCTCTACTCTGCCCTGGTAAGACCTCATCTGGAGCACTGCGTCCAGTTCTGGGCTCCCCAGTACAAAAAAGACAGGGACCTCTTGGAAAGAGTCCAGCGGAGGGCCACAAAGATGGTGAGGGGCCTGGAGCATCTCTGCTATGAGGAAAGGCTGAGTTTGTTTTGGCCTTCAGAAAAGACGACTGAGAGGGGACCTGATCCAGGTCTATAAATATCAAAGGTGTGGGGGGCAGGGTGGAGAGGCCAGATTCTTTTCTGTAGTGTGTGGAGACAAGGGGGAATGGCCAGAAACTGCAGCATAGGAAGTTCCGCACAAATGGGCACAAGACCTTCTTTAGGTGAGGTGACGGAGCACTGGAACAGGCTGCCCAGGGAGGAGGTGGAGTCTCCTTCTCTGGAGATGTTCAAGACCCGCCTGGACACCGACTTGTGCGACCTGCTGTAGAGAACTGCTTTGGCAGGGGGTTGGACTTGATGATCTCTGGAGGTCCCTTACAACCCCTATGATTCTGTGGTTCTGTGACCTGCCTGGTGTCCAGGAGCAGCTCCTGGCTGAGCCGGGCAGCCCCGAAAGAGGGGCGCTGATCCCATGGATCGAGGCGTGTTGGAGCCTGGCAGTCAGGCATGCGCCTTTGGTTCTTGCTTTGCTCAAATCATCAGCAGCTGAACCCGAAGTCATTCGTCGCTCCAGAAACAGCGGCGGAGGCACAAAGAAACGCACTTCATCCCGCCCTGAACACCGCCGCGCACCCCGCTATGCGCTTTCCTGGCGGCTCGGATGCGGCCCGTGCTCGCCGCTCTCCAGGAAGGCCCGCACGGAGCGGGGCGGCGCGGGCTCGGCCTCGCCGCTGTCCCCCGCGTACCCGCCCTCCTCCTCCCGTAGCCCCGGCCGGGGCCCGGAAGCGGAGCGCGCGCACGATGACAGGCATCGGCGCGGGCAGCCGGGCCGGGGCCATCCGGGACGCGCGCGGTAATGACACAACGACGGCGCGACCGCGGAGCGAAAGGACCCCGCGAGCGGCACCAGCCCCATTCTTCGGCACGACCAATGGCGGCGCGGAGGAGGCGGGGCCGAGCGCGGGCTCTCCGCCAATGGTGGCCGTGGGGCCCCGGCGATGGCGCCGGCGGAGCCGCGGGGCTCCGTGTGGGGAAAGCGGCGCTCCACCGCCCCGCGTCCCCGCTGTCGCCGCCCGCGCCGTGCCTCGGGGACGCCGGGCGCTCACGGGAAGGCGGCGCTGGGGCCCGTCCGTCCCCGGTCGGCACCAAGCCGTCCTCCGCAGTCGGCTAACCCTGGGAACGCGCCGTTTCTCTGTTTGCCGCTCTGTGCGTTCGTCGATTAAACGTTTCCCGTTCGTTTCTCGGCGCTTCTGCCCGCGGTCGTTTCTTCAGCTCCGGTAACCCCCCCCCCCCCACCCTCCGTGTCCGTGCCCACCACCGGGTAAGGACGGGGCGGCGCAAACGGCCGTGACGTAGCACTGCGAGCGCTGGCCCCGTTCCTCCCCCGCATCCCCTCCCCTCCTCGGCACCACGTGGAAATGCTTGGGGTGGGATTCCGGGAGAGCTGGGGCGGCTCAGCCTGCAGACGAGGAGGCTCGGGGCGATCCCGGGCGCGGCCATCGGTCCGTGCAGGGAGGCGGAGTGGACGGAGCCGGGCTGTGCCCGGCGGTGCCGAGCAGCGGGACCGGAGGCACTGGGCACACGCTGCAGCGCAGCAGGTTTGTCACCACTGAGCCCCCCGCTCGGGTCAGCGCCGTTGGATATTTTTGCCAGTGATCATGATGCAGGAGATGAGTGCATCCTTGTGAAATCCAACGGGCATCCTAAGGGACGAGGTGCTGCTGGCATCCTGAGCTTTTTAAGGGGCAGTAGGGAAAACTGGAGGGCTCAGGGCAGTAGCTGGGGGCTCTTGAAGGGGCTTTGAGGTGCTGTGGGTTCAGAATTGTTGGTAGAGCAACAAAGTGCTCAGTGACTGTCTGAAGAAACTTCTGTGCCGCAAAAGGCTACTCAGAAGTGCAGAGTCAGTTTAGGACAAGTAAACAATCCTTTGAGCTTACTGGCACCACGTCAGGTTTCCTTCCCTGGTGTTGTGCATCATTTCTGGAACTGCAGAGAAAAGGGGAAGGGGTATCTCATGCTGCTCGACTGTGGGTGTCCCTGTCTGCACAAGGTGCCCTGGCTTCCCTTGCACTTGCCAGCCATCTCATTGATGGAGAGCTGCCCAGGCAAATAAAAATGGCCTTACTTGGATACTGAATCAATCACTGCTAACTGTAACAAGGTTGAGACAGTCAGCTCAAATAGAGACAGCTCTGTGTAAGTGTTGACAGCCTGGAACTAAGTCTTGTGGCTTGTGCTTTGTGTCAGCATAAAAGCTGGTATTTAGAATGTCCATATAGCTTGAAATTTTATAAAGCTTGTGAAAGAAGATCTCTTGATTTCTTATGGTAACTTAAAATCAGAACATTCGGAATATCATAGGAGTGCATATCATCAGGATATGCCACAGAGGGCTTATCTTTTATGCTTGGATAGACAGTCTTTTCCCGCAAAATGTTTTACATGGGAGGATGTCTCTGCCTGCTGAGGCTCTCCTCTTCCATGAAACTCTTATCTGTGAGCCTGTAGACATGTCAGTATTTCCACTGACATAACGCAGCAGCAGCCATTTGTTGCTTAATCTTGTGCTTTGTTGCTTTTTTTTAATTTATTTTTTTATTTTTTTTATTGCAAATGTGGTGCTATTTTCCTATTTTGATTTTGAGAAAAGGTATTGCCTGGGTCTGGTTCACTCTGGTCTGCCCAGTCAGATTTGGACTCAGGATTAAGTCATTTTATATGGAAGTTTTGTACTTTTGCCCATGATTGCTGCAGAAGAGATTTAAATTACTGAATTAGTGGTGGAGAATTTTCTTCCGTTATCCCCTTCTCAAGCCATCATACTGCTGTACCTGAGCTCTGTTCCATGGCCAGGATCTGTATGCAGTCTGCTGCAGTGTGGTGCTGCAGTGGAAAGGTTGCTTTCTGTGTTAGAAATTGAGTGTGAGCACTGAAAGATTTGAGTTTGCAAGCTTGATTTATGCAGCTTCAGTTACTCAACCTTTTTCTCATGCTACTTATATACTAATGTGAAGAAAAAAATGTATTTTTAAGTGTTTCACTGCTTGGTAGAAAAGGTAGAAGATCTGAATTTATTAGCATTTTTTGTAATAAATCTTGCACTCTGTGCTCTGCACATCATGGTTTAGAGTGAACCCATACAGAATTTAGTCCGTTCACTTCAAAAGAAATTGTGGTCTCAGTAGAATGTAGTACTGCATTGACAGCTTTTGTTGACAAGTGTTCTGACAAGTCCTGCTCGTGAACTGGCGCGGGTCAGTTTCAGCATGTCAGGTTTCAGTAGGCCTGCAATTGTGAGAATTTCCAAGATTCTCACAGCCTTGGAAATATGTCTTGTGAGTCAACTGGTTTCTGGTCACAGCACAGAAGATACGTTGTAAACCCAGTAGGGATACACAGAGATTCCATAGCAAGAACCAGTGGTGAGTTAAAAGATGCCCAAAAAGCCACGGAATGAACTGAAGGCACTTTGGCGTCACTGCCATCTGCAGTGTGCCTTAGCAGCAGGTGAGGCAAGTGGAAGGCCCTGGCTTCATGAAACCTCTTGTCATCTATGGACAGTGTGTTAGCTCTCACTTTCACTTCTCTTACCATTGCAGGTAGTTACTGAACAGCTACGTCATTTATCAGTTTTCCAAGATGAAAATATTTGGCTCACAATCTTTAGGCCAATACCCAACTAAAAGTGGATGAAGAGGCGATCTCAGGTGTCACTGACTGTATTTTATTTCGTTACCCATCTCTGTTGGTTGCAGAATTAGCTTTAGTTAGCACGGCACCCAACTTGTTTGCATGACCTAGCTGTCACAATATTTTCATTTTCACTTCATAGTTAATGCACAAACGCTGCCTTTAGAGCCTGCTGGAATGTGCCTGAGAAATATTTTTGTACCTTTTTAAGTATTAGCTGACAGACAGCTAAACAGCCAACTCTGGCAAATAACCAGCAGCTGCCATTGAATCTTCAAGCATTATTCTTTAGCACCACTCAGATTCTAGACTCTAGTGGGGCTGAGAGTATTTGAACTAATTTAATAAAGTAATGATTTAAACAATTTAAAAGGAAAGTTCTGAAGTGTCTTAAAGAAAATCTAGAAAAGCTAATTACAGTAATGTGCAAGCTTTAAAACTGAAGTCCCTTATACTTCCTGTCACTGTGTGCATTGCGTTGTTCTGTAGAGCCAGGCTTCTGTCATGTCTGTTTATTTTCCAGGAAAAAAAGAAAAAAGAAAAGATCAGTATTTTAAAGCATGTTTTAAGTTTGACATGGATTTCAAAAATGAACATAGGGAGCTTGTCATGTATTTGATTTATTTCATAACGATTCCCTAAACCGGAATGTACTGTAATGGTAAGTGACGTGTACATCCTTACAGTAGCAAGCAAGTAATAGAGACAGTGCACAGCTCCAAATATTCTATTGCTATACTGACCTAACGGCTGATGTGTGCAGTGTTGCTGATATCTGATTAGCAGTCTGGGAACTTTAAGAAATACTTTCTCACTTTCTCTAAAGGAAAGTGTTCACCTGGGGATGAAATAAAAATTTGATCCTTCCCACCCTCACAGTAAGAACAAACGTAAGCATTTTCCAAATGAATTGTTTCTGAATAAAAGGTTGGAAAATTTGTTCTCAGCTTCTGTGCCTTATTAATGCATACAGAGCTTCACATCTCTAATTCCTTAGCAGTGTGTGCTGTGCAAATAAAAGCCCAGAGTCCAGAGGATGTGTAAGGAGCTCAGAAATCTGCACTCCCTGTGCAGTGCAGTCTGGCAAAATAAACTTCTGGCATTCGCTGTTCAGAAGTGCAGTGTGCCTGAAGCAAAGTCCTGGCAATTCACTTCTATTCAGCGAAGGATTCTTCTCCTACTTGAATAATTTGAAACATTTTAGAGTTGTGGGACACTTTTGAAAAAGGAAGGTCTTTAATATTGATATTCATGCCTATTTAGATTATCGATTTTCCATCCCAGCTCAGCTATTGGTGGTTATGCCTGAGTAAGCCATAAAAATCAGGTCTTTACTGGATACATCCCATGCCAAATATTGTTGCTGCGTTTTTATTTTCTATAGGTAGGATGCCGCTGCATTTACAATGCAATCAAATGAGAACGTGACAGAGACTCTGTAAGTGGTGGATTTTGCTTCTTTTCTAAATGGTGTGTAAAAAAAAGGGTACTGTTTTTTGCTTTGTACAAAAATATTTGCTCCTTTGTACAAAAACATGGGTGTTTTCCGTCCTCTAATTCATTAAATCTTGACCTGAAAGAATAGGTGGGTATACCATTGCAGCTGTAAATCTGTACTTTCTGAAAGTCTTTCACTAGGATAGCACTGCAAAAAAGGAAAAACAGGATGCCTAGATACTTTTAATTTTTGAAGGTACAGTCAGTTTACTTATTTATTGCACTTAAGAAAAGCAAGAATGAGTGCTTTGGTCCAATGTACAGCAAGGAAGTGCTCACATGTGCTGTCGGTACACATACCTCTCATATCACTGCAGCTTCATCTATCTTCCACATTTTAGTAGGTACCATCTTTTAAGGGGGGGAATACTGTTGGAAGTGATCCTACTTTGGTGGTTTCTGGGCTCCTCTTGCTGAATCCAGTTAGCCTGAATGAAGGATATGGAGTGGCAGCATTGCTGGGTGAACGCTACCGTTACTGAGAGCAGAAGAGTGATTCTGTTTGTTGATGTGCCTTTGGTCACTGAGCACCGTGAGAGCATTCTGAGTATTTGTGTTTGTAGTTCAGATGGCAAGTAGCCTAAAGACTGCTTGTGCACAAGTGGCTCAGAGCACATCAGTGCCATCTGCATTGTAACACATTACCTCTGATTTTAAGCCTGAAAGTTCCTTCCAGTATTAAGGCCCAGGAAACTCATTAGCCATCTGACCTGGGACAAATCTGCCTTTTGTTTCTCATTACAATCATGTTTTTTCTTTGTGAAATTCCTTGGAACTGCTATTATCATATACACAAGACATACACAAGACAGACTTCTGCACAGTGTGGTGTATTGTAATGAATGTTTCTTTATTCTTTGTCAAATCTGGAAGGTGGTGCTTAGGCAGATTTCCCTATACCTCATTAAAAATAAGCCTGCTAAAGGAATAGATGAGAAAAGAATTGAAAGGATATGTTTTGGTGTGGTAGTGGGTTTTTCTGTTTGGTTTGTTTTGTTGTTGTTTTCTGAAAAATGTCAGGGAGCAGATTTTCGTATTTTGAAGAATTTCAGAGATGTCTCTTCATTACAGAAGGCCTTCTGACCAGCTGCATCTTATCAACTGCAAAGCAGCTGGATAGATTTGAGGTTCATGTTATGCTGAGCAATTTGTTCATGGTAAATTGATCTACTGGGGTTATTTAATCTGGCTGAGTCAGCCATCTTTATAGATGCAATATGCTGAGCACAGCTTGCAGCTCTCTCCTTTAGCTGTGTGTGTTTGCAAGGCTTTGTCCCCAGCAGAAATAGCACTTTTGCTGGGAGCTGTTTTGCTACAGGACCAAACATCTTGCAGGACTGGTGATGTTTACTAGATACGCTTCCTAAAGAATAAGGATAGGCCAGAATTTTAGAGGGTAAGAATTGCAGAAGAAGCATGGCTGATAAACGGAAGCTTTGTAGGTGATTGAGGTCTCAGGGTGCAATAAGCATTAAAAGAAACTAGGGATGACTTTTTTTCACTTAGAAGGTGGTGAGGTACTGGAGCAGGCTGCCTGGAGAAGCTCTGGGTGCCTCTGGTCCTGATCATCCTGATCTAATGGGTGGCCCGTAGAGGGGGGATTGGAAGTGAGTGGTCTTTAAGTTCCTTTCCAATTCAAGCCATTCTATGATTCAATGATTTTCAATGTCAGAATTCATGCAGTTAGTACTTGCCTATGTGAAAACAGAGTCCGCACCCTTTCAACAGAGAAGAGACCTTTTTGTCTGAGAACTAGTGGAATTAGGGGGATAATTTTAAAAAATCCTGTTTGAAATCATACTTTGGGACACTCCTCACTTTGCCCTCACTTTCTAGAGCATTTCTGAGCAAACTGAGTACTTCTCCCCCATTTCTGCTGCTGCTTTCAATAGCTCAGGAAGCTAGCACTCTCTTTCCTGGCAAGGGAGGGATGTAGGACTGACTCAGTTTCTGTGCAGGACGCTGAGAATGAAGATGCTCTGTAGATGATCGTTAGTAATGTAAGGCTGTCCTCTTCCTGGCAAAGCCATTGGCACTGAGTCTGCTAGGAGTGAAGCAGCACTGCAGTGCCAGGCAGAGCTCCCATTCCCTTCTTCCCTCCCCACCATCATGTGCTCCTCAACAAATTTTCCACTGTTTACTTAGAAATCCATAAAACAAGAGACTGAGGCTGGAGAAGCTCCATCTGGGGAAGTCAAGGTGGAGGAAACCCCTGCTGCTGCTGTTGTGGGAAAGGAGGCCATCCCTGCTGAGCCAGATGAGCCAACAGAGCAGGCTGCGGTGAGTGATCTGTCCCCCATGTCCATCTCCCAGCCTCATCTGGGCCATCTCTCATCACAGTGAGTGTGCCTGCTGTATTTCAGCCATCCCCTCCGTTCCTCATCATGGCTGGTTTTGTCAGCGTCCAGCTGTGTCACAGCATGCCTCTCCAGCAACATTTGCTCCTGTTGGTCCCAAAATGTCATTCCTTTTAAGACTGGCATTTTAGCTGGAAGTTCACCTGCATGGTCTTACAGGCAGTCAGAGGTCAGTGCAGAGCATCGACAAAAGGTTTTCAGATATGCAGATACTGTAGCCTTGCATGGATCTTTCTGTGGAGCTGATTGTGTTTCACATTCCTGCTAGGGGCAATGGCTCAGGCACTACAAGCCTGATTGTGACATTTATTAACATAGGGGAACAGCATTAGGAAAGCGTACAAACAGAAGTGAAGAGTGGCTTGGAAATGGTCTGAAGCTCTACTCAACCAGTGTCAGGTTGGTTGTGTGCTGGTGGTGTTGGACCACTGCAGAAGCCACTCATGATACCGCGCAAACTGTCTGCAGCAGAAGTCTCTGGAGTACAGCTGTAGTTTAAAGGACTTCTCAAGGACAGAGAGATGATTTTGCCTGGATAGTTGCAACTGTGTCACTGGATTAAAAACTGGTATCAAATGTGAATGAAATGAAAAGGCAGGCTGAGCTTTAGTTGCAGTACCTGCCTGGTTATCATTTCTCCCTTGCTCCTATCTTCCTAACAGGGTAAAAAGAATTTGTTGTAGATGGGAATGGGGACAGTTTTCTGCGTGCTGTTCTGGAGAGCTTTGAGAGAGAGGAGGATGATCCTTGTCTAATCCTTCCTATTTGCTCTGGATTCCTACCTGTGAGAGCAGCATCGTAATGGTAGAGGAAAGCAATGCCAATGTGTTCCCTAGAATTATGAATTGGACTTGATTCTAATTAAATCATAAATATTGAGTGTGTTTAATTTTAATTTACTCCTTGTTCATGTCTATAGCAAACCCTAGAGCGAGTGACCTCAGCATCATCTTCTTCTTATAACAGACACAAAGGCCCCATGGTCTGCAGAGATCAGGCTTTTCCCCATGCATGTTTTCTTTTGAGTTGATCTAAATCACTGTAATAACTTGTCCACTCTATAGCAAAGCAAACAATGAAACTGCCTATCTGAAGCACGTTGTTCCAACAGACTGTTGTCAAAAATCCTCCACGGTTAGGCAGAGTAAATGTGATGGTTTGGAATAAAGAAGAAAAAAAGGATGGTGAGTAGAGGAAGGATGGGACATCAGTCATTGGTCAGGAGGTCTCTTCTGGTACTCACTCTACTGAGTGGCAGTAAGTAAAGTGAAGAACAGATATCAGAGAAGCTTAAAAGGTTGTTTCTGTTTGATTTGAGTTTGTTTTTTCTGTAAGGATTTCAGGAAGGAAAGAAAAATTGTGACGGAAATATTTTTTTCTAAAAGGAAGCCAACTGCTTTTCTTGTATGAAGATAAAGCTCCAAAATCTTCATTGTCTGAGTGCTAATTAGATGGCAGGCTGGGGTGCAGCACCACTCATCCATTCACTGGCTCTGTCCTGTGACCTGTTTTGCTGCCTCACCATCACTGAGGCATTCTCAGCCCGTGTTCTTTCATGCTCCAAATGGCTGCAGAGCTGTTGGAGAGGAAGACAGTGAGAGATGGGCAAGTGAGTGGCAATCCAGGAGGAAGTCATAGGCATTAAATAGAAGTCAGACAGTTCTGACTGGGTTTATTTTCATTTTCTGTTACCTTTAGAATACAAAGTTGTCTTTACCAATTTGGAAGAGATGTCTAGGCAAATGAGCTCCGTGTTGATTTCTTAAAAATTCAGAAGTAGAATTATTCATTTGGCTCTGAGGGGCAATGATTCCAGGAATTGCTTTCCAGGACTTGCAAAGGAGAGTCTTGAACATCAGGATTAACAACAGCCGTGATCAAAGCTGAGGACATTTCACTGAGATGCAGAATATGAAAGCATGTCATTTCTCAGCAGCAGCTCAGGGTTCATTCACTTTATGAGTGATGAGTTACTTAAAAGTGGAGTGATAAAATGTTAATAATATCTTTCTGATAGGAATCTTTTATTGATTTTAGTAATTGCAAGTTTGTGGTGACAGCCCCTCATCAGCACAATTTTCTCTGTGATGAATTTACTGTCAAGCCACGTTAATTGGTAGAACGTATGGCAGTCATTAGTTGTTGCAGGAGCTTTGAGTAAATTTTCTGGTAGGGCTCTCATTTAAACTAGGAGGGGTAGTGCAGAGAACAGGGTACAATTCCCTGCTCAGGAGTTTTGGGTTCTGTTACTTACAGTTTCGTAATCAGCCTGAAGTGCATTGCCAAACACTTCATTCCAAGAGCTCATCTTAATTGCTGCATGGAATCTTATTACATGTCCTTGTTGTGATCCATCGGTGCCACAGAACAAATAAATTTCTGTTAGGTGCTGGCAGCCATTGATTCTTATTTTGGTTGCAGGGATCAAAATTTTTCACAGTGAAAGGGACAAAATCACCACGTGCTGCAGAAGAGCTGAAGCGAATGGCAAGAAGTCCTTGCGTGGACTTTTGCCCACAGAAACTGTTTTGTTTTTTCTTTCCGTAGTATGTAAAATCCAAAGGATGCAGTCTAAAATATATAGTTTATTAACCACTGATTGATTTCAATTTCAAATAATAATATCCCTCTCACCACATCAATTTTTCAAAGTCAGGCAAAGATGACAAGTGTACAGAACAAAGAGAAATCTTAGCAAGTCTTGTTATTTTGTTGTCCTATCTGTGAAATGCTGCACCCAGAGTTCACAGCATTACTCAGAGATCAGCTATTTTGACTTCCAGATGCTCCTTGGTTTGGAAAGAGCCTTTTTGTGCTTTGGGTCAGATGCTTGCCTGGACTTTAATATTCTCTCATTCCATCAGTCAGACACTCAGCTAAACACAGTGATTTTCAAAGCTTTGTGTGGGCACATATGAAACTGCCAGCTGGAAGCTCTCTCAGACACTGAATAGTGACAGAGGCCAAGAAAGAGCCTTCAGCTTAGAGATGTCTAATGATGGCTGAATCCCACCGTAGGTACAACTCGTGGCACCCAAACTGCAGACTGTATGATCTGGGAGAGCAGTGCAAAGAAGAGTGGTCAGCTGTGTCCGAAAGCTGAGCATGGAGCCAAGTACAGGTACAGCACTGGAGTATGAGGCCATTTAAAGGTAAAATATTTCTTTCAAAAATGGGGGAGAACTGATGTAGGACAGTGTTCTTCTGTTCTAAGTCAGCAGAGGCAGATTGCACTCTGTTTATGGAACTGCAGCATTACTTAGGCACTGTTTCAGTAATCCTATTTACTAGACGTTTACGCCTAGCGTGGCATAAAAATAAACATTGCACTGCCGTGCTTCCCTGCTAAAACTCAGTCATCCTTACCATCCCGACTCCTAACTAATCAAAAGATCAGTGCTGCTAACTTTACCAGTACAAAATAGTCCTTAAGAAGTAAGGGCAACTCTCCGTACCTTTCTCTTTCCCAAAAAATCTGCTTCCAGTTATGCTTGAAACGAGCCCTCATTTAAAAGTATGTGTATGAATGCATCATATTTTGAATGAGGCCCAAGCTGTAAGCATGGTTGATGGAATTCTTATGGGAAAGAGTTTCCAGGTTACTGATAGGAGAAGGGTAGGGACAAACACATTCCTGACATAGAGCAGTGCTCATTTCTGAAGGCAAATTGACTTCAAAATACAGCTTATTAAGAAATTCAGCACTTTTTAATAATACAAGTCAGAAAAGTGTTTCTGTACCAACTTGCCATTGCCATTAGACACATGGCTTTTATGAGGCAGTAGAGATATTTGTTTACCTCTCCTGTTAAAAAAAAAAAAAAGAGCAACATGCTGTAGCAAGCATGCATGCTTTGCTAGAGTAAGAAATAATTATATTTTGCAGTTGAAGCTTGTGGGATTTTTTTCTTTTTAAAACCCTCTACAGTCTGTTTTAAAATTAATGTAAAAATCAGGTCTTTGCAGCATGGTTTGGCAGCTTGAAAGAAGAATTAATCCTGTATGTATAAAAGAAAAGGTGATGTCACACTGCAGTTTTAGCAGGATAAAACTGTGAGGGGTTTGCATGGTAACGCTGCTGTCAGCAGCTGCCTTGCCCTGGCACCTGGACAGGTCTGGGTCTTATGAGGTGACTGCAGGAAGATGAGCTTAGAAAACACATGAGTGAAGTGAAGTTTGGATATAACGCAGCATCCTTTTATTAAACAAGATAACATGCAAGCATTTCAGATGAAACGTGCAGGAATTTTGGTGTGGCAGGTGTGTGGAGGCAGTGAGCTGGAGGCTGAGCACTGAGGTCTGATCACAAGTGCTGAAGATGGCGATCTGCTCTACCTGCACTCACACAGATCTGCATGACTTGTCTTCACCCTTACAGGGCTTTTGGAAAATCTGACATATGTATGTTTGCAGAGCAGCCTCAACATTTATTAGTGAAAGAGATTTCTATAAGGGGGCTTAGATTTACTTTTCCTCTGAAAAGCATCTTTAGAAATATCCTGCAGTCTGCAGGAAGCCAAGACTGAGCAGAAGAGAAAAGCACTTCCAAGTCTTCCAAATGAGACATGAACTACAGCCATCTTGACTGTTTGTTGACTTAAACTGGACCTGAACCTCTTGATCCAGGCTGAGCAATAGCCAAAACTGAATCCAAGCTCAAGCAGAAGGGATGTTGTTGGCTGAATCCCAAAATGCTACAGTAGAATTGGAAACCAGCAGGAGCACAACTGTCCCACAGAGTTTTGGAAATTGTACGTTTTTTCCTCTTCCAAACCTGGAACTCGTGCAGTTTTACAGCTTCTGTAGCAAAGGACCTTGTGTTAGATCCCATCTGTGCTGTAAGAAGTATTGTTTGGGGTGGAGAGCATCACTGTTCAGAGCAATTGATTCCTTGGACATCTTCATGGGTGCCAGATTTAGAGCCACTGACACATGTCTGCTGTTTTAAATGTCAGGCACCCACTGCATGTACAGCTGAGTGTGGACCTGGAGGAAAGTGATTCTGCACAAACTGATGAGCTTTGTGACCCACCTCTTTGAACAATCCCTTGCTGTGTGTTTCAGCCCAACGTGTGTGGAAGAAGTGTTCCAGAAAGTTTTCCTGCAAACTGGTGAGTTACAGGGGCAGCAGCAGGTTATGATGGGAACATTCTGAGTCTTGGGTGGGAGAAATTGGAGGTAGCTGGAAAACTGTAAGGTCAGCAATGTTCTGGGCTGTTGCTTAATAAAAACATTCATCCAGTATGGTGCTACTATGAGAATACTGATAGCAAAAGTACATATAATTGACATTAGCACTTCCAGTGTGGTGATCATTATGTAATTAACAGGCTTTATTTCTCATGGTTTTTTGCTGTGTTCTTGTTTTGTTCTGGTTTTGTCTTACAGCTACCTTTATTTCAGATATATAGCAGCGAGAATCTTTCCACTCCCTGTATGCTGTCCCATTTAGTTCCCACCATTCATTTCATCACATCCCATACCTGCCATTCTTCCACTGAGCTTGATTAATGCCAGTTTCTCTGCAGTCATTCCCTCAGCATGAGTAAGATGGTGACCATATTTCCTCTTTATACAGGAGAGTATCGGGGCAGGGGATAAGGAGACAACTGGAATTGCTGAGAAAGAGAGTGAGGTGCGTATGAGCAGCCTCAGGAATGTGGTTGTGCTTTAATATCTTCAAGAGGAGCATGGCAAAAATATATGTATGTCATCTGCATGTAATCAGTGTGCAGAGAATACAATATGACTGTGACCCAGCTGTGGTACCAGAACATTTCTCATGCAATGCAACATTTCTCATGTCAATGCAAGACCTACCTTAGAAACTGCCTGTTGCAGCTGTACAGATTGATAAATATTTTGGGACAGAAAACAATCAGATCCATGAACAGAAAGTGGCATAATGCTGTTTCTATTGACATTTGTGGTAAAGAGAGAATATGCTGCATAGATTCACAGTAGCTTTTACATTTCCCTTGAATTTGTTTGTCTAGCCTTCCTCTAAACAGCTTTAAAAAGGAAAAGGAATTTTGATTCATCATTTGTTTTTCCTTTCACAGCTGAAAATAATCATGCCACAAGTTCGTTTTCTAAAATATGAATCTGGCACTGACTTAGGTAAATTACAAAGCAACTGAAAAACTCAGGGACATACTTAATTTCTCTTTAGGTGGGCATGTTGAGGTAGATCAAACCCAGTTTCTATAGCTACAGGTGCTGATGCGCTGCAAATGAGAGTTGCACTGCTTCTCTAGCATTGTCTTCTCACTGCCAAGTCTGGGCCAAGAAATGCCTTGCTCTGCCCTGAGCACAAAGGCTCAGCCTTTGAAATGCATCTTTCCTCTGTTCCAAACTAGGTGCCCTTGTGAAGTAACTTCTATCTGGTCAGCTTAACCTGCTTAGAGGAGCAGTATTACTGAATGCAGAAGAGATGCTGTCAGGGATCAGGCTGTTTGCTAAGCTGATATCCTGGCTCCAGTGGAGGACTGTCCTTCTGAGGCAACTTTCATAACCAGTTCTGCAGTATTACTCCAAAAGCCTTCCAAGACTTTGCAAGCAGTTGGTGTGCTCACTAAAGCATGATAATTAGTTCTTGATCTTATATTAGATGGCTGAGCTGTGATTATGACTAACTGTCCTAAAAATTACCAGTCCTTTTCTAAATCAAGCTGTGGAGCAAGATCTTTAGCTCTGGAAAATGGGGAGAGTTCAGTGAGCTCCTCCCAGACCCCCAGCTGCAGACTCGGCTGCTCTCCTCCTCTTCATGGCCTCATTCTTGCTGCTGCTGAATCTGGGCACTGCACTGAGCTGACAGTTCTATTAGAGGATAATGCAGCCAGCTGCAGCCTGGGTAAAGAAGCATTCACTGTTACTGCAACTCAAAGCCACATGGCTCTGTTATCACAGCCTTCATTACATTGGATGGCGCTTGTTTTTTCTCCTGTGTGGCTGTGCAGATTTCAGTAACCCTTCTGCAGATAGCTGGTTTAGGATACTCTTAGTCTGTGTATTGTTATGGAAAACAGGTTTGTAGAGTTGGTTCTCAAAACGAAGACAGGAAATACCTGCAAGTACGTGGTCCATTGCAGCTAGGTGTGGGATTCTTGTTCTAATTTCAGTGGAATTGAGGCTCCCTCTTTTTAGTTTAGTTTTGTTTTTTTATCTTTATCAAAGGCATTTGATTCTAATAGTGAGATTCATTCAGCACTAGCACAAATGCTTTTGTAAAAGCCATTTTTTAATTATCTTGCTTTGGTTCTGTATTCTAAGGCATGGGAAATACCCAGTTCTGCATATGTGAACGTGCTGTGCATTCAGTGAGTTACAGCTACAGCTGTTGAGAGCATCACCCTTTCAGTGCTGACTGTTTGAGAGCTGACTCATGTAAATTAAAATTCTCCTCCACCGTAAAAGAGAATTGGCTATACAAATGCAGTAAATAGAAAATAAATGCTGATCCTAATCACAACAGGCAGCAAGATCAATGTCTGCAGCATGCTGTTAGAAGCACATGTGATGAAATCAATCTGATAGGCATTCTGTTCCCCTCCTTTCATACTGGTCTCTTCCAAGGCTTTTACAGCCACCATTTATTTGAATACTAGCCCGGGTCAAGACTGCTACATTGGCAATACTCTGTGAGACAGGTTTGCATGCCTTACAAGTCACAGGAGAAGATATCAACACTTGTCCATATCTTTTGATAATACTTCTGCTTGTGGCAGAGCATCCTTCCCTAGCAGAATTTTCAGTTCAAGCTAAAACTTCTCCAGTGGTTTCTGCAAAGCACTGGAGTATTTCCTGCTTTCAAGGACTGCAGAAGAATTTATTTACCACATCAGTTAATGTCAGCCACTGGGGGTAGATAGAGCTGAAAAATAATGACTGAAGAATGATGGTGAACAAATGCAGGCAGTTCAAGTTGAGCTCAGAGAGCTGCATTAGTCTCATTCATGGATGGAAAATCAAACTGAGGAAACAGAGCATCAGGCTATGAACTGAATTTCTGCTGAATTTAGCTTGACGCTGGTACCTAGAAAATAGCTTTTCTTTAGTGCTAAAAACTTCCTGAAGTTAATTGAATTGACAGAATGTGTTTTTTATATTTACCTTCACCATCGAGACGAATCTACAGAAAAATTAATTCAAAATTAATTCAAAATTAAATCAAAAATTAATACAAAAAATTTAATTACTGTAAACAAATACCAGTATGTACCAACACAAATGTTGGAGTGATACATAAATTACCTCTGCTGGAGGAAGGATTTAACAATGGCCTTCAGGAAGCTACTTCTCTATCCACCTTTCAATAACTGAAATAAAATGCATGCTGACTTTTCAACACAGACTAATGATAAATGATTCAGTCATATCAAATCTGCTTGGGTCTTTATTTACGTTTCTTTCTTTTTTAAAATCAGCCTAGCTATAGGCTAACATTTTCTGATACCTGATGACATCTGAATATTTCTAACCTTCATCTAGCTGTAGAGTATATTTGCTTCAGCTGACATAGCTCAAGTTGCACTTCTCTGTTCAAAAGGAGTCTAACCAATGCTCTTGAAGGCAGTCCAGGTCTAGAGATGGCAGACAGCAGCTGGAGCAAACTTGCAGCCTGTTCCCAAGAGCAGACTTTCAGTAGCACAGGGGACCTCCGGACACTCTGCCAAGCTTCAACTCACCTTGAGCCTGCAGGGAATTTCTCACAGCACACAGCTTGGAGGCAAATCAGCCCTGAGAATGCAGTCCCATAACTGTTCCAGAGAGCAGTGGAAGGAGGCCGTTGTATAGGCGTGAGAAAGAAGAGGCAGTGAGAACACATGAGCCTTGAGAAATGTTTCCTACACTAGCAATACCCATCTGAAACTCTACTGCATGTTGACAGGAAGGTTTTGTAAATGTCCCTCTCCTGCCTGTAAATCAGCTTTGTCGTACAAGCCTACCCCTGTGCTCCTACATGGTGCTTCAGGTATAGGATGGCAGCCTCCAGTGCTGCTTTCCCCCTTGGGTCAGGAGAAATCCCAGTGAAACCAAAGCCAGGGGCTGGCAGCACCTAAGGAGATCGCAGAGAACAGGATATCTCCAGCTGATATGCACAGCTCATGTCCTGAAAGATTTCTCCTTCTATCCTGCAGGTGGTGAGTGCTGCAGATGGGGCACTGGAGTGGAAGAGTGATGGTGGGAGCAGGAGCTGGTGAGGGTGCTGCTCCCACGGAACAGGAGGCTGCTGCTGGAGGTGACAAACCTCAGGGAGAAGAAAAGG